AACATTTCCCGAAATTGCTGCACACCAAACCCTAAACCCTAAACCCTAAACCCTAAACCCTAAATCCTAAACCCCAAAATAGGAGCAAGGCTGGCGTGACGCTTCGTGGAATCGTTCAGCGCTCTAGTTAAGGGTTTGCTGATGAGGATCTAGGGTTTAGGGTTTAGGGTTTAGGGTTTACGTCTATGATGGATTCCTTGTCGTCTTTACTTAAACCTAACTCCTTTTTGATTAATTTAAGCTGCTCCTGCAGCAAAAACTTTCGCTGAACCTTCATCACTTTATCTTCTACCTGGGCCTTAACGTTCACCTGCACGCAAACCCTAAACCCTAAACCCTAAACCCTAAACCCTAATCCCCGAGTTTCGACTTTCGAATGGCCATCTCGCACCACTTCGCTTGCGATAAAACCCTGCGGTTTGTGCTGCCTCTAAGCCCTAAACCCTAAACCCTAAACCTTAAACCCTAAACCTGAGGCCCCAAAGTGTATATCTAAAACCGCTTCTCTCGTGTTTAGAGTTCAACGTCAAGCGCTTGCAGCTTAGGGTTTAGGGTTTAGGGTTTAGGGTTTAGGGTTACCTGAAGTTTTGCAAACTCCAAATCTTTCTTTGCTATTTGCAAGACGAGCATCAGACGCTTCTCAATGTCTTCCTCCTGCACGCCCCAAACCCTAAACCCTAAACCCTAAACTCTAGAGCCCAAACCCTAAACCCTAAACCCTAAACGCTAAACCCCAGACCCTAAACAAGAAGACCCCAAGCGGCCAGGCGCTAGCCGCAAACATTTAAACCTTCGCCTCCCCCTCTAAACTTGCTCTTCCCCCTAAGAGAGCTTAGGGTTTAGGGTTTAGGGTTTATGGTTTAGGGTTTAGGGTTTACCGCGAGCACCGCCTGCAGTTCGTCGCGACGCGCAAACGAAATCCCCGCGACCAAATCCGCCAACTTTTGGGGGTAATCGATGTTGTAAAACCGAATCACCTAAACCACAAACCCTAAACCCTAAACCCTAAACCCTAAACCCTAATAAACCCTAAACCCTAAACCCTAAACCCTCAACCTGAACCCCAGCCACTCTACATAAAAGCAAAAGCCACTGCTAAAAAATGCCACAGGAGCGACCAGCGCAGCAAGGCAGCACAACCCTAAACCCTAAACCCTAAACCCTAAACCCTAAACCCTAAACCCTAAACCCTAGAGGTACTTGATCGAAGTGCTCTTTATAGAAGTAGGAGGTTTTAAGCAGTTCTTTCATCGTTGCCAAGATTTCCATATGCAGCATCTTAACAACACCATTTCCTGCGTAGCTGCTGCTGTTGCTGCTGCTGCTGCTGCTGAAGACTGTCGCTGCTGTCTCTCGAGGGAAAGCTACTGAGACATACAGCAGCGCGCTGCGTCTGCTGCTGCTGTTGCTGCTGCTGCTGCTGCTGGAGGGAAGTGAAGGCAGCAAACCATCAACAGCAGAGCCGTCGGAGTCGTCGGCCGCTGAATGATGCTGCTGCTGCTTCTGCTGCTGCTCCTGCTGCTCCTGCTGCTGCTGCTGCTCCTGCTGTTCCTGCTCCTCCTTCGCCTGCTTCTCTTGCTCAGAAGGCTGCTCATGTTGCTGCTGCTGCTCCAGCTGCTGCTGCTCCCGCTGTGGCTGCTCCGCCTCCCCCTGCGGTTCTTCCCGCAGCTGCTGCTGCTGCTGCTGCTGCTGTTGTTGTGGCTGCTGCTTCTGACTGCCGTCAGCAGCAGCAGCAGCATCGGATGGAGAGGGTATGGCTGCTGCTGTTTTTGCTGCTGCAGCACCTCCTCCCTCAGCAGCAGGAGCACTCTCTGCTACGTTTGGCGCTGCTGCTTCACCTGCGTCCGCTGCTGCTGCTGCTGCTGCTGCATCTGTTGCTTCTGTTGTCTCTGCTGCTGCTGCTGCTGCTGCCGCTTCTTCTGGAGATTGAGAAAGGCCCAGCAACTTTATGCTGCACACCCAAGCACAACCCCCCTAAACCCTAAACCCTAAACCCTAATTTGTGTCAATCCAAACAAAATATCTAACATCGAGGGGTAAGGGGTTAACAACTAGGTTTTAGGGTTTAGCTAGGGTTTAGGCTGATTATAATGATCTAGGGTTTAGGGTTTAGGGTTTGGGGATTGAGGAGATCTGCATTAGGGTTTAACCCTCAAAACAACACCCTGCTACCGCCTTCGTGCGTGCAGCCTACTTGAAGAGGGCTTAGGGTTTAGGGTTTACGATTTAGGGTTTAGGGTTTACCGTCTATAAGGCATAACAATTGCCTGGCCTCCCCCTTGTGTTGGATGCGGCGCCAACGTCAGCAGATGCAGCAAACAACCCACGGGGTGTATCTCCTCTAAAGACGAAACGCTGCCTAAACCACAAACCCTAAACCCTAAACCCTAAACCCTAAACCCTAAACCCTAAAGGGTAATTGCCCCACGGGGTGTATCTCCTCTAAAGAAGAAACGCTGCCTAAACCCCAAACCCTAAACCCTAAACCCTAATTACCCCAAGGAATGCATCTCCTCCACAGAATAAACGCTCCTTAACCCACAAACCCTAAACCCTAAACCCTAAACCCTAAACCCTCACCAGCATCCTCTCTTAGCTTTGCTCCAGGCCCCACGTCTTCTTCTACTTCGGCTTCTCTTCGAAGTAAAAAACCCCCGACAAAATCACGCCAGCCTCCGCTGGTTTTTAAACGCACCAGCTCCTCAAACAACTGCACGCAAACCCTAAACCCTAAACCCTAAACCCTAAACCCTAAACCCTTAAGATTGGCCGCTGGCCTGACGATACGGTGATTAAACCCGTATAACTCCACTCCCTAAACCCTAAACCCTAAACCCTAAACCCTAAAGGGTTGAGGATGCGCACAGTCGTGATGACGGGATGCTTGAACCCTAAACCCTAAACCCTAAACCCTAAACCCTAAACCCTAAACCCTACCTCTTGATCGGGTATTTGCAGCAATTGATAAAACCCTGGAAATGCAGGTCTTCTAATTAACCCGATTGCAGGCAGAGAAGGAAGAGTTGGAGGAGACGGAGAAGAGACAACAGCAGCAAATGAACCCTCATCACCACCCCAAGGACCTGCTGCTGCTGCTGCTGCTGCTGCTGGTGCTGCTGGTGCTGCTGTTGCTGCTGGAGCAGGAGGAGGGGCTGCATCGCCGCTCGAAGCTGCAGCAACACCCTGCTGCTGCTGCTGCTGCTGCTGCCGCCTCTGCCTTCGCAGCACGCGCCCCACACGTGCTGTCAATGAACCCCCCAATGAATCGGCTGCTGCTGCTGCTGCTGCTGCTGTTTCTGCTGCTGCTGCTTCCTTCGGCCCCGTTACTGAGACCACAGCTTCCTTT